ATTCCGTTTATCACAGATCTCATTCATGGAATCAATTACTACAGATTAAAGGGGAATACAAAGGCTCTAACACAAACCCAGAAAATCATGCAGGGACAGTTTCACAGTTCAATTCTGAGAATTTAGGAACAACAATGAGGAGATAGAACTCAGTCCTTTTCATAAGCTCATCTTGATTCTACCTTTGGAAAATGCTCATTGAAAGACATGTGGAGTTTGCATGCAATGCACCCAAAGACAATGAACGTGCTTTCACAACTCTGTACAGTTACAGTCTAAGTAAACATTGTTTGTGCTGCTGTACTGCAAGGACACAGAACACCCAACCCACTCTTATCGTTCAAAGGAAGACCTTATTGTGCATTTTGCTGCCCTGCCCTGCCCTGGAGAAGATGTGACCCTTGTGCTCAGAAAATGCCCTTCGTGACAGCTAAGCTGGAATTGGCTGTTTTGCAGTGGCTGAATGAGAGCAACTCCCTATTTCACGGGCTGCACTAGTGAGAATTAGGAGACACACGGTGGCTGTATTGACTGACATGGCGATAAGAAAGCACACGGAGGCCACACTTCTCAGCCAGAGACATCCAGAACCCAGGAACGAAAGAGTCCTGTGCTTACACAACACTCTAACACAGCATTCACAATTTCCTCCTTTTCCTGAGCTGGGAAAAGGTCTTTGTGCATTTCAGAGAGGATGAGATTAGTCTGCCCAGGCGTGCCATTCTCTTATAGCACAGAATAAAAGGTCCACCGTCTGGTCAGACAGCAAGAGAGACAAGAGCTCATCTCTGTCTGCTTACCCCATTCTTAAAGCCTCTCAGAAATAGCCAGAAGGAGCCGAAACGTTTGAATGTCAAAGTGCTTTCGTTCCTTTTTTCTCTTTGCTTATTTGCTTCTAGGGGAACACAAACATTTCATGACTTACAATTTCAGGAATTCGGTTATGTCAAATGCAAATACAGGCTTATTCTGGAAGAACCATTACCGTAGGCTGCAGCCTGCATCCCTCCCTACCACGAGGCACGAAGCCTCTGGCTCTGCTGACCCTGTGCTAGTTAAAGGAAAGACGATTGAACTGTTCTGCAGACACAGGCCCAGCATTCTCTGGGGTCACGTCCTCTGTGGGGACAGGGACACAAGGGAAAACCTGTTCCTCACCGGTGTCCACGCCCATGACACAGGGCTGTGGTGGCAGGCTGGGGACGAAGGGCTTGAGGAACCTGAACTCGCTGTTGCCCGAGCCCGTGGTGAGGCTGATCTCGTAGCAGTAGGGGCGGGGCAGGGTCCCCGCAGCAGCTGCATCGGCCAGGCCGCTCGGTAGGTTGTCGGCCCCGGAAAGCACGTGGCCAGCCTTCAGCTGCTTTCTCTGGCACAGCCTGCGAGCCACGAAGGCTGCGGTGGAGACGAGGAAGAGCAGGGAGACGAAGACCAAGGAGATGATTAAATAGGTGGTGAGGGAGCCGGCGTCGTCGTCATCGGCGGCCGGGCTGGTGTGCGGTTGGCGCAGGTCGGAGAAGTCCTTGAGCAGGAGTGCGCTGAGAGCTGCGGTGGCTGAGAGCGGCGGCCGCCCGTTGTCTCGCACCAGCACCACGAGCT